ATATGAATGTGAATGTGAATATGTATGTGAATATGAATGTGAATATGAATTTGAATATGAATGTGAATATGTATGTGAATATGAATGTGAATATGAATTTGAATATGAATTTGAATATGAATGTGAATATGAATGTGAATATGAATGTGAATGTGAATATGAATGTGAACATGAATGTGAATGTGAATTTGAATGCGAATGTAAATGCAAATGTGAATATGAATGTAAATGTGAATGTGCACAAGAGTGTAGCTGGGGCTGCGAATGTTGGTGTTGTTGGTGTTTAGAGGCGAAGAGGTTGGTAGGAATGTCGAATGGGGCGAGCACTACATCGAAGCTGGTTTGCAGTCTCGGTTGTCGGTTCATTTGTCTCGCTTGCGGGGCGAAAGTTTCCCATCCCTCCGAGGTCAAACATTCCGATTGCCCACAGCTCGAGGCCCGACGCGAATGTCTTCGCGTTGCCAGGCGGAGGCATCCAGACACCCTTCACTCTGTGAGGGTGTGCAAAAATCCACCAAAAAGACGCCAGCTTGCGCAAACTGCGAGCAACACTCTGGCCGATTGTGCACGCCTAACCCAGGCGTACAAACACACTCGCCAATAATGGGCCTAACCAGACAGGATTGGTACTCACCACACCTTGCAGTCGGGTCAACACATTCAATCTGGACGCGACTGGCGACAATCTGCCCAAAAGATGCTGCCTCGGCGGAATTTGGAGTAAAAGGGGACTGCATTAAAATGCATAAAAATGCATAAAAAGGCGAAAATTTTACATTTTTGCCACCAACAATTGTGCAATATGAAGTCAATTTCACACGCGAATGCACACATTTGAGCCAATCCTTGGGCTCGTTGTGTGCACTCAGGCCGCACATACAACCACATTGTTGTCACCATTTGAGTTGACCGGCACAGCGGCAACACATGGCCTGTGCTACATGAAAAGTGCCAGTGACCGGCATACATACAAACACAACTACAACATGTGATACAGACATGATGACATTGTCGAGACGAGGATTCAGACATCCACCACGAATGAACACTTATGCTGGCCTGCTTGCTTTGCCTCCCTTTGGTCGTCTCGTAAACACACACACACACACACACACACACACACATACATACATACACATGGATGCACGCAGCCGCAACAACAGCGCCGGGCTACGGCAGATGGATGGGAAAGAAAAACAAATTGTGCCGCCCGTTTCCAACTCGTCTCATCATACCCCAAATATGTCATTGTTTATCACACACACACACACACAGGGACAATCTCGTGTCTGAAGAAGCAGCTGAGAGAGTGTGTCTTGGCGACAGAAAAAGGCCGATCATGAGCCACGTGGTCTCCAGACCGACGACCAAGCCTGGCACTCGTTCCGAGGACGGGTCTCGAGCTTACACACTCATCGGCACGACTTTGCCCGTCAACAGAAGTCAATTAAGTCATCTCGACAGACCCGTCAAGCCTCATCTCGACGGCATGGTTACCAGCCTCAGAGGGCCACAGTGCCGGTTGCCATGGTAAAATTGGCGGCTGGACTGGGATGATTGGTGGGCATTGGAGGGGCTCGGTCGTGTCTGATTGTGTCGGCAATTGGCGAAATCTAGTCGGACTAACAACTCTTATTTTCTTCTTGTCGTTGGTGTTGTGGTTGTTGTGGTTGTTGTGGTTGTTGTATGTGCATGAGGTACAGATTGGCTTTGTTTACTCGTCGTTTGGTGCCATCACGGAGTGCTGGCCCACCACGCCCAGCTGGGCACAGCATCCCTTGAGACTGACTCTTGAGCAGACACACTCGCATGGCAAACAATGCTAGCAAAGTGCCGACTTATGAAGAGACAATCGTCATGCCAACTCGGACTCGATGCTCCTGGCCGGCGGCGGTACTCGGACCAAGAAAGCGTGGCCTTCTGTCCAAGATGAAGGCATGGCGACCGGAATGTACGCAAATCACCGGTCGCTATGGCAAAATCAACATAATGGGAATTGTGTGTGTGTGTGTGTGTGTGTTGGGAAGGAGGGCAGGGCCAAAGAGGTGCGAACCGCATTTCGGCAGAGCTGACATACTTCTTCTTCTTCTTCTTTCGAGAATATACTCGAAAGGATGCCAAATTGCAAAGAATCGAGGCAATCGCGTCAAAGTTCGACTCATCCCAAAGTGCCGTTGGGACAAAGCAGACACACGAAAACGCCCACGTCCACTTGTACGTGTGTAGGATGGTGTGAGAGACGACAGTGGCAGCAA